ACGCGGATGCTCTCAAACCATCCAGCTCTGAGAGTATACAACTTTAAATATTCAGGATGGAGAGCCAGAGGAAGACCAAAGCGACGATTGAGTGAATCTGCGGCAGACCTCCTCAGAGCTCACCGGAAGTCCCTCCTACAGGCCACTCGTCTTGCTGCAGACAGACGCATGTGTCTCCCCGCGACACCCACCGGTACAAGCGGAAGAAAAAAGAAAAGTAAAGTAAAGTAAAGTAAATTCAGCAAGCAAAAGAGTCACCCGTGAATCATTTGGTCAATTTTGATAAGGCACGCTGGTTCCAAATTTGATATTTTAGAGATGGGATCAAGGGCGAAGCATCTATAATCAAATAATCACTGCTTTCATTCCTTATTTTTGGAACATTATCGCAGTCACAGTCACCCATAGGCTAGACCATTGATAGACATTCATCAACATCATTGCCTTTAACCCCTGACAGGGTATAGGCCAGTGGCGGGGCGCCATTGGTGCAATTGGTGCAAGCGCTCCACCGAACCCTGCCCCCCCCCCTCCTTTTCTAATAGTTCTAAACCAGTCAGTGCTCTAGATCTACATTAGGCCTAGCCCACTAAAATGTACATCCTTGCGATCCGTCACCCGCTGGCTGCGCCAGTGAAGAGACAGACAGCGAGGATGGCATCATGGTTTATGCTCGTCGCACCGCTTGCGGTAGCGTCTGCTGGGAGCAAGCAAAATTTTTGCACCTAAGTTATTTTTGTCACTGTAGAGAAATCTAAGCATCGTTCTTCCCGCACAAGAAGAAAGGTGCTTGAAACTGCTCTTCGCAGCCTCAATTTGGTGCAAGCTAAAAATTTGATCCAAGTTTCCGCGAGCCTATCTACAACACTAGTAGAGTCTACGGTAACTCAGTGAAGAATGGGTATCGAAACTGTTGTCTCCCTCTATTGTGTAGCAAGTCCTAGTGCTGCGCGAATTAATTAGAAATTTTTTAATGTTCTCAGATTGTGAGCATAGTGAGTTGTTAGTATTGTTTTACTTTATTGCAGCTTTTATGCGGTTTCATCTAGAGACGGTTGTAAATATCGATAGATGTAGATTACGGAATATCCTGCAGATTCTAATTAACTTTCTTTAGAAATCTTAATAGTTTATCTAGCTACTAAGCCTATTGCCCATTTGCTCACTTTCCAATTATGCACCACCTTGTCTGCAACTCACGCGACGCCTTGTTGGTTAAACTGCAGCGAC